CAGTTGCTGAGTCTAGCCTTGAGCTTGTGATCCTCCTGCCTCAGCTTCCCAAGTTGCTGGGATTAAGGCCTGTGCCACAGCTCCCAGCCCCTTTGGGATCCTGTGTGCACTCCCACCTCATTTCTCAGGAAGCTTCCCCAGGAACAGGGGGAGAATGTGGCTTTCACAACACCCTGGTCCCAGTATCCTCTCTTGGCCCATCACGGTCCCCACAATCCCCACCACCTCAGCCCTGGAATTCACTTGGAAACCCTCCTCCCGGTCCGGTTCCCCATTTATCTAGCAGAGATCCGTGTCTCCTTCCGTCCCTGAAGGCACCCCATCCACGTCACACACCTGTCCCCTCCAGCGACATCTGTGGGTTGCTCAGGGTTAGCACCAAGTCATCAGCCCCAAAGGTGGCAGCAGGGGGAGCAGAGGCCAAGCTGGGGTCCTCGGAGCTGTACATAGCACTGAAGTAGTTGCTGAAAACGTTGCTAATCTCACAGGTTGCAGCCATGAGGCTACCTGGAGAGAGGGGACAAGGTTGGTGAAGGTTCCAGACTTCTCCCCTTACACCCTGGCTGCTCTCTTCTGGCCAAACCTGGGCAGGAGCCACCCAAAGGGGCAGCAAGGTCGGCAACTGTGTGCGCCCTCTCTTCAAAAAGGGCTTCTAGGTTCAGAGCAAAGTGTGGCTACTAGACCCTCCTGCTGGGGCTCCCTGCTCCGATCGCCCAGAGCCCTTAAGTGGGAGCTTCCAAGTCCTTGTCCCTCGTACAGACAGGATACTCTGACTCTCAGGACCCCCCTACTGCCGCACACTCCTGCTGGGAAATTCCAGGCTAGAGGGGGCAGGTTCAGAGCAGCAGATCCACTAAACCATCCCTGGTTTCCCGGATGGGAACGGACAGGTGGGGGTCCTACCGGGTGGCAAGGTACGGGCGTCAGGCAGGCAGGCAGGCTTCGGAGGTCACAGGTGGAAGAGAAATCCAGGTGGCCAACAGCTCGGCCAGGTAGCAGTGAGAAGTCTGGCCCCTATGCTCCCCCACCCGTCCTATATAGAGCCGCAGGAGCTCCTCCCCACACCAGGTCTTCGGAGTTTGTCCCAGCGGTAACCTGAGCTGGTGGCTCATTGGATGGAGGGGATTTCCTGGCCTTCAGACTGGGCTCCTGGCCCCAGGTGATTTGCATATTCTGTGCCACTTGGCCCGGATCCTAGCAGGCGGTGCTGGGAAATCAGGCCCGGCTGGTTTAATGATTGTCAGACTCTGTCATCCTGCACCCTCTGGGGTTGGGCCCAGGGCTCTGACCTGGGCAGGTGGCGGGAATGCCGCTGGGGTGGGCATCTGTGCTTCTGGCCACCCTTTGGCTCAAGAAATTCCTCCTGGGGGCCAGGCCAGGGATGGGCTAGGGAGGGGAAAAGGTAAGTGGGGAAACCAGAACCCCTGATTGAACCCTGGCCCTGCCTCTAACTGTCCAGAGAACTGGGGACAAAGGAGCCTAGGAGGAGAGAAGTTATTGAGGTTTAGGGATTTTCTCCACAACACCCAGGATTTGGAGTGAAGGAGGACTCTCCAGACTCCTTGCAAGGCAATATTCATGGGCTAATGGGTGTGGCCTGTCCTGCAGGTGTAGCCCCAGGCTCCAGGGTCCCTAGCCTCGGAACCCATTCACAGGGTCCACTTCATTTTTTGCCTGCCTAAGCCCCACCCAAGCATCAGGGTTTCTGCAGCCACTTATGGTGAGATGGGGCTGTACTTAACAGTCCTCCCTCCCTCAGCCGGGCATGGTGGCCAAAGCCTGTAATCCCACCCTACTCTGAAGGCTGAGGCCGGATTACAAAAGTTTGAGGCCAGCCTCAACAATTTACCTCAAAAAAAGTTAAAAGGCCAGGGGGATGTAACTCAGCGGTAGAGCACCCCTGGGTTCGATCCCCAGGACCACCATAAAACAAACAAGCAAGCCAAACACCTTCCTCAGGTGCCTAATTTAGTAGCCCTCCCTGTTTACCAGCACCTGTCTGCTGCCCTCTACTGGTCAGAAGCCTGACTCCTGGGTCATGTCATTCAGAGAAGGGAATCCTGTGGCATTAGTTTCCTATTTTGTCAAGCTCTTTGTTTTTGCAGTACGGAGATTGAACCCTGAGCACTCTGCCACAGAGCCACATCCTCAGCCCCTTTCATCTTTTATTTTGAAACAGGGTCTTCCTAAGTTGCTTAGAGCCTTACTAAATTGCTGAGGCTGGCCTCAAATTTTCCATCCTTCTGTCTCAGCCTTCCAGGTCACTGAGATTGCAGGCATGTGCCACCACACCCAGCTCTCCAATACTTTTTATTTTTTGAGTCAGGGTCCCACTAAGTTGCAGAGCCTGGCCTCAAACTTATGCTCTTCCTATCTTAGCCTTCAGAGAGGCTGGGATTATAGGTTTGTACCACTTGCCCAGCTTACCAAGCACTTTTAACAAAATCTTCACACACAAAAATCCAGTAAGTAATGTGCATCTTCTTTTATTTTATTTTGCAGTGCTGGGATTGAACCCAGGGTCTTGCACATGCACTGCGCTACCACTGAGTTACATCCCTAATTTTTTGAGACTCACTAAATTGCCCAGGCTGGCCTTGAACTTGCAATCTTCCCCCTCAGCCTCCCAAATAGTTGGGGTTATAGGTGCACACCACTGCACCTGGCTAGTTACCTTCATTTAAAGAAAAATCTATTTTTTAGTTGTAGGTTGACACAATACCTTTATTTATTTACTTATTTTTATGTGGTGCTGAGGATCGAAACCAGTGCTTCACAAATGCCAGGCATGCGTTCTACCTCTGAGCTACAACCCCAGCCCTACTTACCTTCATTTTATAGGTGAGAAAAATGCAGCTCAGAGGGGTGGAATGGCTTACCCAAGCCAATGAACTACATAGGCTGGGAAAGGAACCAGATCCCTACACTCTGAGCCTCTGGTTGCAGTTCTCCCCCTCAGTCTTGGATGGAACCCTAGCCTCCCCTGTGGCAGAGAGAGTCCCACATACCTGTGCTTCTATGAATTGAGCTCCAAATACAAGAGACTGGGTCCCACAGACCCACCCCTGGAGACCCTGAGCAGAAGTAACAGGATGGGAGGAGGTGGGAGATTAATGTTCTAGAGTCTGTACTAAGTGATCTTGGGCAAGGTGCATGGATTCTGCACATCTCCTTCTTTAAAAATAATGTTTGGGGGGGGCTAGGGATGTGGCTCATGCGGTAGCGCGCTCGCCTGGCATGTGTGCAGCCCGGGTTCGATCCTCAGCACCACATACAAAGATGTTGTGTCCGCCGAAAACTAAAAAATAAATATTAAAAAATTCTCTGTCTCTCTCTCTTTAAAAAAAAAAAATAATAATGTTTGGGGCTGGGGTTGTGGCTCAGTGGTAGAGCACTTGCCTCAGTAGTAAAGCACTTGTTTAGCATGCAGGAGGCACTGGTTTCTATCCTCAGCAGCACATTTAAAAAAAAAAAATTAAACTAAATAAACAAAATAAAGGTATTGTGTCCATCTACAACTAAAAATATTTTTAAAAATGATAATGTTTGGCTAAGTGAGGTGACACACGCCTGTAATCCCAGCGACTCTGGAGGCTGAGGCAGTAGGATGGTAAGTTTAAGGCCAAGCTGAGCAACTTAGCAAGACCATGTCTCAAAAAGCTGGGAAGGGGTTGGGGATGTAGCTCAGTGGTAGAGTGCTCCTGGGTTTAATCCCAAGTACCATGCCAAAAAGAAAGAGGTTGTTTGGAATAAATAATCCTTAAGGTCTCTTCTAGCTCTTTGTTTTGTGTGGTGCTGGGCCTGGAACCCAGGGCCTGGTGAGTATCCTACCACTCTACACCCTCAGCCTCAAACTTTATTCATGCATCTGAGATAGAGGGTGTGGCTCTCCTCCCCATTCCCTTAATTTACAATACAATAGTGGGGGAGGGGATATTTTCACAGGTCACTTTAACAGAAGGTGACTCATGATTCCACATCCAGGTACCCCTCTCTGACTTGATAGCTGGAGGATTTGCTTCTCATCTTTCTTGTCTCTGAAACTACTGGGTGCCTAGGAGAGAGGGTTCTTAATGTCCAGAGTCCCCTTCACTGGGCCAGGGGTGGCAGGAGAGCCAGGGGCTCTGGGCAGGATTATTTTCAGCCCTTCAGGGGGCCACCCCCAAGGAGCCCAAGGCAGGCACACCCTCTACCCAGTCACTCACCCTGGAATGTGGGAGAACCGGCTGCAGCCCCAGGGCTGTTCACATGCTCCCGCCTGAAGAGCACCTGGCCAGGGCTCCAGAGGCAGGGTGAGGAGGAGGCACAGAGCATAATGAGAAGGCCACCACAACCCTGCCTTCATGAGGCTTCTCCACAGAAGAAATGGAGCTGAGGAAATCCTGCAGGCTCGCACCTGTCCAACCATTAGTGCCTTCAATAACCAAATGAGGCAGGAAAATAGAAAAGACTTGGACTTGGGGTCAGTGCCTCAGAGGGCTGAGGAGGTTCCAGGACTGTGGTCAGACCAGCTATGGAGCAGGAAGCAAGGGGCCTTCCAAATACCACAGTGGCACAGCCTCACCCTCAGGACGGGAGGATGGCAAGAGGATAGCCCCCAGCCCTTTAAAGGACAGACACATTCAGCAAGACAGCAGGGAGCAAAGGTGGCGTGCCCAGACTATGAAACAGAAGGACTCACAAAGCCAGTGCGACAGAGAAGGCTGCAGAGGAAGCACTCCCAGCCTTGGCTTCCAGGACCCTTCGTATTTACTGGGCTCATCCATGTTACAGGGTTTTAATACAGAACAAGGCTACTGGTCTCAGCTGATATGCTAAACACTAGGCTGGGGATATGAGGAGGCATCTAGACAAGCCCTAAAATAGTGTTGGCCCGTAACATATTGCCAGGGGCATCCTGAAAGAGCTTGGGAAACAGTTTGGTATCAAGTTGCCAATGTCTAGGGCTGAGGCTAAAGCTCAGTGGTGGAGTGCTTGCCTAGCATGTGCAAGGCCCTGGGTTCAATCCCCAGTACTGCCAGGAAGGGGGGGAAAAAGTCAGTGCTCTGAGTAGCTGCCCCAATCCTGGACCTCCCAAGTCATTCTATGATCCACAACTGGCCCCCTCTTCGGGGGAGGCTCTGAGCTTGCCATGGGGAAGAGGTGCTCTCCTGCCAACGGTCGGTTATTACTATTCTCTTGCTTTGGCTAAGACTGAGAATAAATCAACCGAAGTACTCTTTCTCAATCCCTGTGCAGGGATGGCCACATGGATAACCTAAAGTAAGGGATAGAACCACAAATGGATATTGGTTCAGGGGTCCCTGTAGTTAAAAAAGGTAATCTAAATATAATTTTTCTTTCAATCCTCCTCTCACCTCACTCTCAAACCCAAGTTACTCACTGCTTAGCCTACAATGAAGCCAAGAAGTCAGAATTTAGTACCAAGTTTTGGTTTTGGAATGCTGGGGATAGAACCCAGGGCGTTGCACATGCTAGGCAAGGTTCTACCTCCCCGAGTCCAAGTGCCAAGTTTTGAACAGATTCGACCCATCACCACACCATTAAAATATAGTTATCGAAGAGCACAGGCAGGTGAGGCCCCGCAAAGGGCAGGGACAGGAAGGAAGGGGAGAGAGAGAGAGCACTAGATCAAACTTGAGTTTAAGAGGTGGAGGAGGAGAGCACTGGACTGAGGCTGCAGCTAGGGAACTGGGCTTCGCTCCCTCCCACAGAGCAGGATGGAAGGCTCTTCATCCCCATGCTGTCCCTGCAACAGCCCTGCCATGTGGCCAATCATTTTTTCATTGGCCTGTGTGGGCCCCACTCCTCAGTCTGGCAGTTCCCTAAAGACAGGGAGACAATGTCCCCCGCTGGCCCCGCAGTGATGTTCTCTTATCACTCACATTGCGAAGGTACACCTTGTAGAAGAAATTAACAGTTACTCAGTGAATCACTCCAACTTACCTTTTTGCTTAAAAACATTTATTTAAAAAAAGAAAGAAAAAAGAAAGGAAAACCTCTCTGCTTCTCCCCAGAAACTTAAGTGGGAAGGCAGGAGAAGACCGACTGCCCCCACCAATGCCAGCAGCCTGTATGGAGAGGAGCTCCTGCCAGAGCACAGGCCCAAAGTGACAGATACCTAAGGTCAGAAAAAAGATCATCCCGAGGGGACCAAAACTTCAGGATGTTGACTGGAAAACTAGAATTTGAGAACAATTATTCTGAAAGCCTGGGCAGTCCAAAGAGACAGGCCATGCACATGACCTCTAACTGCCCTTGGGCTCCAGGATTTGCTGGACGTAGTTGACAACATTGCTGTGGAGCTGGGAGGCAGTGGACGCAAAAGTCTCCTTGGCGAGGGTCTGGGCCACTTCACTGCCACTCATCATGGCGTGGTACAGCGGAAGGGTATACTTCTGCTTCCCCTGCAGAAACACATGCACGGGCTCTGAGCAGCTTGCTGTTGTCTTCCCAGCCCTCTTCCCCTGGAAGCAGTCTAACAGGGATCATGGTCAAGTGCCAAGAGGGATGTGGGACCAGAGTTGAAATAGAGAGCTTCCCAGTCAGAGGTGCTCTGATTCTGGCATCTTCTCAGGTGGCAAAGATCCATGGAGATAAATCTCAACATGCATCCAAAGCCAGGATAACATAGGGACCCCTACATCCACAGAACAAATGAGATGGGTTAACACAAAGGGATTGCCAACTTTTGGAGAGCTGGAGGTGGTCAGCTACCAAAGTAGTGACAGACATCAAAGGCGGCAGCACAGGGCTGGGGTGGGGCTCAGTGGTAAAGCATCCCTGGGCTCAATCCCTAGTACCATTAAAAAAGAAATAACTGGGCTGGGTTGTGGCTCAGTGGTACAGCGCTTGCCTAACACGTGTGAGGCCCTGAGTTTGATCCTCAGCACCACATAAACATAAATAAATAAAGGTACTGTATCTATCTACAACTAAAAGATTTTATATATATATATATATATATATATATTAAAGACTGTAGCACATAAAACTCAGGACCACATAAGGTCAACTACAATCAAGCAAAAGAAAACCCCTAAGTCAAATTTGCATAACTGTCTACCTCAGAAGAAGTGGTCAGAGGGCTCAGAACACCCCCAACAGACATGCAGCTCCTGCTTCATGCAGATCAGAGAAGCTGAGCATTGCTTTGTATCCAACCCACTCTTCCCTGCTCTGCAA